CATATGCAACCACAGGCACACAATCGTATGCCCTCCAGAACCCAGCAAATGTTCCGTGCACTTCCACCGAATTACAACCCACGGAGTAACGTATTCCGTTTGCCACCCAGACACAACCTTCCATACGGCACCCATAAACCCATGAGTGGAGTACAGGCATTTACTCCAAAAGTTTTACCTCCATTAGGCCATGATCGTTTCAACAAGTCCCATGAAATGCATGTAAATGAATGTGCACCCTACACAGTTGACTCTTATTACAGCGGCTACTATACAGAGCCGGAATACTATCACGGCACGGGCTATGCCGACTGTGAAGATTATGTTACAGGTTACGCGGAACACGAACATAGTATTCAATACGATAGCGCCGACCAGTACTCGGAACTGACTGATAGGTACCAGCTGACTGATGGTTATGAATGTCAAGCTGAACCCAACACTAGCACTGACCCAAATTTTCGGTTAGACCGGAAGTTACAAAAGCCAAAATAGAACTAAATCTACAGTCACAAAGACAGTTGCCATATATCCAAATTACGAATCCTCCTCTTAAATTTTTGATAGACACCGGTGCTAATCAATCATTTATTAGTCCCGAAGCAGTAGAACGATATTTTGCTCATTTCCCTATCAACTATGACCCTTTCGAAGTTACTAATGTGCATGCAATAAGTAAGAACGATTACTCAATAACTTTACCCTCCTTTTCCGAATTCAATGACAAAGGTGACATAAAGTTGTTCATTTACCGCTTCCATAATTACTTTGACGGCCTTATAGGTCTAGATTTACTGACAAAATGGGAGGCAAAAATTGATTTAAAAAATAAAATTCTTTTAACGCAATCCTCTAGTAACCCTATCCGCATGTATAACTCTTGTAATGTAAATTACTATGAGGAAATGATCCCGGCCGGTACATCAAAAATAATTAGAATCCCTATTAATGCCTCCGACGGCGAAGTTTTAGTAAAAGAGCAAATTATTAGTAATTGTATGATCCACGAGTGCCTAACAATTGTCAAAAATAATAAAGGCTACTTGGAAGTTGAAAATAGTTCTCCAAATGACGTAATATTCTCACTCGACCGACCAGCGCAGGCTGACATTTTTAATATTGAGTGCACGCGTACCGAACAGACTTCGGAACGCGCACAAGACGTCGTAACTCGACTACGTACCGACCACTTAAATGACGAGGAGACAGCTAATTTGAATTTACTTTGTTCTCGTTATTCCGACGTATTTTACATTGAAGGAGAACCTCTGACCTTTACCAACAAGATTAAACATCGTATTAGGACGACTGACGAACAACCAATCTACACAAAGAGTTACCGCTACCCTTTCGTGCACAGACAAGAAGTTAGAGACCAGATAGCTAAGATGTTGGAACAAGGCATTATACAACCCTCCGACTCTGCCTGGAGCTCTCCTATATGGGTAGTACCCAAGAAGGCAGACGCTTCTGGTAAACAGAAGTGGCGCCTTGTAGTCGATTTTCGGAAGTTAAATGACAAAACTATTGACGACAAATACCCGATACCGAACATTACCGACGTACTTGACAAGTTAGGAAGATGCCACTATTTTACTACTCTAGATTTAGCGAGTGGGTTCTACCAAGTCGAAATGGACCCACAGGACATTTCTAAGACAGCGTTTAACGTAGAACATGGACATTTCGAGTTCCTACGAATGCCCATGGGTCTAAAAAACTCGCCCTCCACTTTTCAGCGCGTGATGGACAATGTCCTCCGTGGTCTTCAAAATGATATTTGTCTCGTGTACCTAGACCATATAATAGTGTTCAGCACATCCCTTCAGGAGCATATGACCAACCTTGAAAAAGTTTTTCTTAGACTTAGAGAGTCTAACTTCAAAATCCAAATGGACAAATCCGAATTTTTAAAAAAAGAAACAGCCTACCTGGGTCATATTATCAGCGAAGATGGTATCAAACCGAACCCTGATAAAATTTCAGCCATACAAAAATATCCTATCCCTAGAACTCCCAAAGAAATAAAACAGTTCTTAGGCCTTCTCGGTTATTACCGAAAATTTATCCCAGATTTTGCCCGTATTACAAAACCCCTTACATCTTGTCTGAAAAAAGGAAAGAAAATCACCCTTGATCCCGATTATACAAACTGTTTTGAAAAATGTAAAACGCTTCTTTCAAATGACCCCGTCTTACAGTACCCTGACTTCTCTAAAGAATTTATTTTGACAACCGACGCATCAAACGTAGCAATAGCTGGAATACTTTCCCAAGGCCCTATTGGATCTGACAGACCAGTATGTTACGCATCTCGCACCCTTAACGACAGTGAACAAAATTACAGCACAATAGAGAAAGAGTTACTTGCCATAGTGTGGGCCACAAAATATTTCAGACCTTACCTTTTCGGACGAAAATTTAAAATTTTGACTGACCATAAACCTTTACAGTGGATGGTAAATTTAAAAGAGCCTAACTCACGACTGACAAGATGGCGACTGAGACTTAGTGAATATGACTTTACAGTGATATATAAGAAAGGAAAATCCAACACCAATGCTGACGCTCTTTCCAGGGTAGAAATACACAATGAAGAAATTGAGTCCATAGTAGACGAGCTCTGCTCAATTTTACCCAATGCTTCAGAAGGACCTCACTCTAAAGTCATTTCGACCACAGCGACGGCACATACAAGTGCAGAGCACCCAATTTTAGAAGTTCCCATTACAGACGACCCTATTAACAGATTTCATAGACAAATTATTTTTACCATAGTAGATGATGTAAAAAGAAAGCCAATCGTAACTAAGCCATTCGACACCCATACTCGTATAGCAATACAACTTTCTAAATCAAACTTAGAACAAGACGTAATTAATGCCGTTAAAGAATACGTTAATCCAAAAGTTAAAACTGGCATTCTTATACAACCCCCTCTGGGTATGTATGAAATCATCCCCATTATTCAGAATCAATTTAGAAGTTCCGCCATGTACCTCATGTTAAGTAAAGTAGAATTGGAAAATGTTAAAGATTATCTTCGCCAACAGGAAATAATTCACAATTACCATGACGGTAAGACCAACCATCGTGGTATTACGGAATGCTATCTTGCCCTTTCACGCAGATTTTACTGGCCAAAAATGAAGGAACACGTAACAAAATTTATAAACGACTGTACCACTTGTGGGCAGGCGAAATACGATAGAAACCCTATCAAGCCAAAATTTAACATTGTACCCCCAGCCATGAAACCTTTTGAGACAGTCCACATGGACTTATTCACAGTACAAAACGAGAAATATGTCACTTTCATGGATGTCTTTACGAAATATGGTCAAGCATACCACCTACGCGATGGAACTGCCGTTAGTGTCATCCAAGCTTTATTGCAGTATTGCACCCATCACGGAGTCCCTATTACTATAATAACCGATAATGGTACCGAATTTACCAACCAGCTCTTTGTCGAATTTACGAAATTTCATAAGATAAACCACCATAGAATTCTGGCACATTCCCCTAATGATAATGGCATCATAGAACGCTTTCACTCCACGCTACTAGAACACCTCCGTATCCTTAAATTAAAGCAAAAAGATGAACCAATCGTTAATCTCATACCCTATGCCCTAATAGCATATAATAGTTCTATCCATAGCTTTACAAAATGCCGACCCTTTGACCTAATGACAGGACATTTCGACCCACGAAACCCGATCGATACTGACATCACAGAACGACTACTGCAACAATACGTTCAAAACCATAGCGAACTAATGAAAAAGGTCTATGATATTATAAATGAGACATCTCTTGCTAACCGTACCACTATAATAGAGAACAGGAATAAAGATCGGGAACCCGAAGTTGAATACTCCCCGCAACAACAGGTATTCATTAAAAATCCTTTAGCCAGCCGACAGAAAATCGCTCCGCGTTACACGCAGGATGTTGTCCTTGCGGACCTTCCCATACATATATATACCTCAAAGAAACGTGGGCCAGTAGCTAAATCGCGACTGAAACGCGTTCCTAAAGGTACTCAATTGTTACAGGACTCTTTTATCACTGATGATCCCCCTGACGCACGCCCTGGAGATAAAACTTGAGAGCTTAGCCGACGGACCTGGATTACTGCCATACAAACTTGGACCAATGCGACTCATTACCCATCACCACACCTACCTACAGTACATTAAACTTGACTATATTGAAGACAAAATTGACTCTTTGAAAAGACAATTACATACGTACGAGATACGACTAAATAATGACACCTTCCTTTTATTCGAAAACCAGATTGACTATCTCCTAGGTAATTTAGATAAAACATCAAATCAATTAAAATCGTTAGAGCCCGTTAGAGCTAAAAGAGGTCTTGTAGATGGTCTTGGCTCGGTAATCAAAAGTATAACCGGGAACCTCGATCAATCAGATGCCGTTCATTATAACAATCTTATTAAAGAATTACAGATTAACCAAAATAAGGTAGTGTCTGAATTAAATAGTCATGTGAGTCTTAATAAAGATTGGATAAGTCACCATAGTAAAGTTTTGGACACATTGGTTGAAAATCAGAGTAAAATTAATACAACGTTAGAAATACTACTAGATGTAAATGCCGATAAAGAAAAGAGTTTAATTCAAATCGCAAAATTTTCCCAGATTTTGGCAATTTTGAATGAAAATGTAGAAGACTTAAAATACGAACTAATTAGAATAGAAAACTGTTTATCTTTTATACGTGCTGCGAGCACGCACCATTCTATGTTAGATATTAATGTCCTTAGGAATATGATAGATAAGTTAAAATTAATATATGGAAGAGATAGAATTTTAGGATTAGAACTTAGAGAATATTATGATATAATACGACCAGGTTTTTACTATGTAGACAAACAAATAATTATAACTTTTCAATTTCCCATAGTTTCAGTAGACGTATACGACCTTTTTAGATTATCTGTAGTACCTAATAAAGATAGGCAAGCCCTTATCCCTTCTTACCCTTTCATAGCAACTCATGAGAACGTATTCGTGTACATGGAGGCAGAATGCCCGAAGTTCAGTCACAGTTACCTCTGCAATAAAGGAACCAACCTTCAACTCCGGGCTACCCCAGACTGCGTACACCAACTAATAATAAACCAAGACTTACAGGAATCCTGCCAAGTAACAACAGTACTACTACAAAAGCCAGCAATGGAACAGCTCGATGATCAGCACTACGTCGTCTCGTTCCCTCAGCCGACGAGAGTTCAATTAACATGCGAAAGAGAAGATTACAATTTACTGCAAGGGAGTTACCTAGTGACTATTCCCCTCAATTGCTATCTACGGACCGCAGAGTTCACCATTACGAATGACAAGGACGAAATAAAAGGTCATCCTCTGAAGCTCACTAAAATCCCATATGACGTAATGAAACAAGTTGCAACCCCAAGCCACGTACACCTGAAATCTATTGATTTGAAAGGACTACACAACGTCCAGAGCAAACTTTTAGTCGAGCCTCCCTTAACACTCGATACAAATGAAACCAATGTCCTATATCACACAACGATACCCCTATACGTGATAATAATAGGTGCATGCGCACTCGTTATAGCCATTAGAAGCCGAAGACGCAACTTATGGAACTGCAAACTTCGAAACGCCCAAGAAGCCAAACCAACATTCAATCAGACTCTCGAAGACCCTGAAAAAGCTGAAAATCATATAGATGGCCTACCAGCAATATTTTCACTAAACGTTAGAAAATAATTGCTCATCTGAGGGTGGAGGAGTTAGATATCGCAGTACAAAGGAAGCCGCCGACTCCACAGTTCTACAGAACGAAGGCACAGCAAATGCACCGATCACGAGGCGCTGGATCAGCACACGTGTCGCGTTTTACCGGAACAACGTAATTTCTCAGTCAACTCACTTTTGGTTCAACCTTCGTACAATTGTCACCTATCCTTAGAAATTAATATTGTAATTTTATTTCTTTAAAATTAAATTAGTTATAAAAAGTTTTGGTTTTTTTTCGAACCTTCGGCTGCAGTTATCTTAATTGGCGTGAGCGTGAGTTATGTATGGATGTATTATTTATTTATTGAGCATTGGCTACAGAGCCGTCTTCTTCAAATGGTAACAAATAATAAAGAAACTCAAAACGTATAATATGTATTTATTTAGAGTAACGAGCCCTATACCCCACCTACGGTGGGGTCGGGCTCGGCCTGCGGCGTGTGGTCGGTTTCAGATTACGGGGTGTGCTTATACTCTTCGGTGGCACAGTGATTAGTACTATGGGCGCTTGATGAGGAGGTTTCAAATACGATCCCTGATTTGAGCCAAAAAATATTTTTAAATTGGTTTTGGTCAGGGTATTCTGGGTATTGCCTTATATATTGAGATCAGAAATTTGGAATTATTGTTTGGTATTTTTTCCTTAAATACTTCTATTTTTGGCATAGCTTCCAAGAAAAAAGAATCTAACGAAGAGAAGGTCGAGATACAACAATGCTATAACTATCTTATTTTCATTACATCGGGAAGTACGTCTTACATTTTGAACAATTGTGAAATCTTGTACCGTGATAGAGTCTCCGTGTACCACCTACGTAAGGTGGCGTGAGGACGCTACGGGCTTCGCCCTCCGCTACACCTCGGCCAACGGCCTCGGCACTTATGATTTAAAAAAAATTACCATAGCTTTTTAAGAGCGGCCATAATTTTGACTGCAAATTATTATTAAACACCCATAGAGATCTCCACATGGCGATTTTCAACTGAATTAGAGCAAAATTTCAATCTGCCTCATTGACTTACAATTATATGGACGTCGGGTCCGCGCTAAAAAGTGTCCGCACTTGTAAGGCGCTAAAATCGTATACAGAGCGCGACACTCCGCTTTAGTCTTCATTTGTTCTACTGACAGCGCGATACTGCGATGACATTACAATTTAAATTTCGAATAGGTTGACTTGGGACATTTTTTTCGTGGTTTTTGTAATA